ACTTCATCTGAGCTGCAGTCAGTGGGAGCGTAGGTAGGAACGACGAAAAGGCAACGACGTGTGTCCCTATCCTTCCGAGTTCTTACGTAGCCGTTTAGCCGAACAACACATAGACGACTGTTGACGGCGATCCAAAAACAGGCTGCCAATATTTTAAGACATCTGTGATCAAATACTAGTAACTTAAGACTATCTTCTACCCTTAATGGTCACGTTTCGCAGTCGTAAGGCAGAACAGGACGAACCGCCACGCATCATGGAGTTCATAAATAGTTGCTCTGATAGTACCGCCACTTTGGTTGTAAAATTTTTCTCTAACGCTTCGTTTCCACTTGATACGGTAACAGTGATAACTTTAAGCTACACTTTAATAGCATGATACTAAACCCGAGTTATCCCTGAGTCTCGCCTATTCCAATACAAATCCTGTAAGCAATATTTATTTAGAAGAAATCAAAGGTAAATTCGTAATCGGGTCAATTCAATTGCACGGTGATTTAATCCAGTGATTATTAGTTAAAGATTTTGTAAAACTGAATGTCACTTGAACAAAATAACGATTAATTAATTTATACAATGTGTATAGTGAAAATTAAATGAACAGAAAACATATTGAATCGATTAACGTCAATCAAATGCAAATGAACGGATATCACTTCAAACCAAAATGTCAACTTTAAGATCTTTTTCTTTCGAATAAATAGTATTTGGGGATTTAGTTTTCACACCAGTATGGCATAAGTTAATATCATAAAACATAGATGTTACTATGAACCAACAGGTAACATATTTTTAAAGAATTAAACACCAAACACTCTAACGACCATTTTTTTTATTTCAACACATAGATATTTGTACAAAGAGCTACCAAATACATATGCGTCACACAAATCTCATTCATATGTGTGAGGGCTGTGATACTGCCCGGGTGCCCAAACCAAAACAGGTGGTTTTCTTAGGGGGCCACCCCCGGAGACCTCGACCTGAGGGTCTGATCCACAAGGCAGTGGAGCATCGTAAGGAGATGCAGCCCCATGGAAGCCGGTGACCAACAATTGGTTCATACGCCATTCGTTCCCTCAGGATACTGGAGCCCATGTGCACCATTGATTTAGAATCCAGTCAAAGCGCCGGACATTCGCTTTTCGTCCTCTCATTTTCGTAAACAGCACCCCCGCCACGAGAAGGCAGTGAGTAGAACTTTCCTGGCAGAAGCTATATACACGTGACCACGTGAGAGCATTTCGAGAGGGAGAGCGGACTCTCCCCACTCTCGGCCGTAACAAGGCATATGCATGCTGTCACGAATACAAGTTATAGGATTTAAGATTGGTGTCAATTTACTTGATGAACACAATAGCACGTTAATAAATAGTCCTAATAGAAACGTTCCATTAGCAACCTATCAATATTATGAAAATCCAACTTACATCTAATGAACTTAATTAAAAAAGTGGATGATGAGATAACAAATATTTTAATAAGTACAAGAACTTAGACTACTAGCTCTTAGAAGTCCAGTAAGTAGATGCAAATAGAATCTAGCTTCATCATTTAACTGGTCTGACTAACAACGCCAACAATGGACTTTACAATGCAAAACACAACAGTTCACCCTCCCTATGAGAATTCAAGACATGAAAAAACAGCTTAGGAATACTCTCATTAGGTCCAATGTTGGAAACTGTATATAGTAATCTGTTTACTTGATTCCCTATCATTACGTCAGTTTTCCTGAAAAATGTTACCCAGTATTCATAAAATTCTCAGTGAGATCTAGAAAACATTCCGACTGATGCTATGAAGTATAGACCAGTTTGTACTAGAAATCTGTTATTTAATCCGGGTTATTCATTGAGTGAATGTCACTAATCATCATGTAGGTAATCATTTCATCAATAGTCATCAAATGGTGAAATTTATTTGGTGAGGGTACTCGTAGTGCAAATTTTTATGTGTCCATTTGTAGACGAAGCTGTGGAAGTTAATGGTATTTATTATTACAAAACCATTTAATACAAACAACTAACTTCATAAACTGTGATCTGAAGTCAATATTTACAGCATCCTTTTAAACTTTAATCAAAACTTTTTTTATCTTTCTTGTAATATGGTAAATCACATTAGGAAAAGGCTCTGCGAAATTCGAAGATTAGTGTCATTAAGCTGCATACGACTTGATGATTGTGTTGATACTACCAGTACTGTTATCAGATATATGAACTTCCAGGTCTATATCACCGACGAACTCAATCACCTTTCACGTTCGTAAGTCTTAAAATGCCGAATATGTGGTTAGAATTGTACGGATTAATTACATCCAATAGCAACCCGAATATGCTGACACAGAGAAAAGTCCGACCACAATTCATAGGTCAAAAATCATGATTATTCATGACATGACTAATAAGCTTCGTTACTTTCATTACCTAAAAAGACGTTTCCTAACATTTGAGACCAGTTCTGTGGGCGTAGGGAGACACAATATTCACTGACAATCGACTAATTTACCAGTGAACAGAAACATATAGCTAGTGTAATACTAACAGCGATGCCGTTGTTGTGTCAACATAGCAGCCAGATAAATTGCTTTGGTTCGTAAGGAATGAGTATTTGGGGTCGCGGTATGATTCAGACCATACTTTTGACATTTAGTGACCGTGTTATCTCCAAATCAAATATTTATGGCTAGGGTCTATACGAACACGAAAGTTCAGATTACTTGGACACCAATCAATTTTTTTATTAGGTACAACGCATCTTGAGAAACCAACCTTCATTTTGCAAAATTATCGATAGATATGTACGGGCTTATATTTGGCATACTCACTTGACATAAGAGACTGTCAATGATAGGCGACATGGATTAAGTAATTATAGGTCTTTCCTCATAATATCATGCATTCTCTTATCAAAAAACCAATCCAAAAATACCTCTCAAGAAAGATTATCAACCGTAGTGTCATAAGGACGAGTATGAAAGGAATCCTAGTAAATTAATACTACCATAGGGAAATTGGAGGGTTCGCAGTTCTAAAAGTAGACATTTCAGATAACAGAAACTAGTTAATCGAAAGAAAATACCGGTAAAGAAAGGGGTTTCGTGATTAATTTTTATATCCTTAGAGATTCAATCACAGACGAAAGAATTCTCGATAACTAAAACCTCACTTGAGTGATCCAACGCAAAGATATATTGACTATATTCATAATAATACAGATAACATTTCAAGTGTGTGCTTTGAATCCGAATTTATACAAATAGTCCTTCAACTGTTTCTAACTAAACAATCTTAAGGGTTTACCATGTTACTTCCAAGTAAACGGAATATGCTCATTGAGACAAAAGACAGGTCATTAACAAAGTTTTATAATCACAAATATACGCTTGTTTTTTTAATTTTTTATAATCAATATTCTGTTGATGATAACATCAATAAATATGTTAAACATGAAAACATGTCGAATAGATCAAAAACTAAATTTATTAGCCCACCCACTCCTAAATCTCCAGATATATATTATCAGCAGATGCCCTTTGTTAAGTGTATTTAAGGACATCACCAACCTCGACTGAAAAGAGGTGGAGATGGTTTGATAAAAGCTCAACAAGCGAACACCTCAAGGACATATGTCATTTGAGACAGAGAGCGAAGTCACTAATAACCCAAGTAGAGAACTGTCGAAGACAGTAAACCATAATCTTCTTAGCATTACCAGAAGATATGCAGTACTTCTGGAAGAAGCTGAACTATGTACAGTAAAGCATATTGTCTCATAGTCTTAATGTCTAACTTTAATTTAGAATACATCACACTCTCTTCTACGTCTCTCATGACTTTTCATCGCCAACCGACGCATGTTTTCATACTCCTTTTGATCATGGTTCATATCCACTACATTTCATCTAATCACGTGACACAACCTATCTTTCACATTTGTTGATCGTTATCTATCTTCTTGATGAGTTCTCAAGGTTACAGCAACTACATTAATAGTTTCCCTATAGTACTTATTTTTATTTTACCTGTTAACACTTTTTTAACAGTTCCATAAATATTGTATCTATTATCTTTAACAGGCAATGATCATCGATTTGAAAAATAAGTATATATTTACGATTGTACAGCTTTGTAAGAAAATTTGTCTAAAGAGGAAGTTTCCGCTGAACCAATATCTTATTTTACTGTTATGTACAACAATATTTATATAGACTTCTTGGTCATACGTGAATAACCGAAAACATTTCGATTGATTGCACATTCAACGATAAAGTTCTTAAACATATTTACAGTATAACAATTACAGGTGGTTGCAAACTGGCACAGAGAATGCAAAACCACCAAGATAATCTCCCTGACTAACTTATGTACCACAATTGTATAATTTTTATCGCTTCTCCATACCTGTTAAAAGGAATACCCTGTAATTAAGAACTGATGTTCTAAACATAATAAAATCAGATGTAGCTGCTACCTTTCCTCGAAATTAACATTCTGTTAATATCAATAAACCGAACAAAATAAAACTGAAAAACTCAATGCCATATCATGGTATTTAGCCCGGAATACAGTCGTATATATCAACGAGGAAACTCAGACCCCGACATATATTTACCAGCACTCTTCAAGATTTGCAATTAAGCACACAGCCTTCCATAAAATTTCGACTAAAAGCAGGAACAAATATGGGTGAAATATAAGCAAAGAAACTGCTCTTTTTCCAAGTTCTAGATGCTAATAGATAATACTTATTGGTGAAAACATTTGAAACTATCTACTTATTCGATAATTAAAATATGGGTTTTTGAACATGATTTACAAATGGATTATTATAGTCTCGACCACCGTTTCATGTAGATCAAAAATATTTATATACACAGTCCGCAGTCTGCATCATCACTTATCTCTAGAAAATTCCAAGGCATAGCATAAATATCTAAAGTTCATAGACAAATAAAACTTATTCTAACACGATAATACTGGCAACACAATACTAACTTTCTTTCTATTTCTTCGAATCGACCTTCAGATTTCCCATCAGATTTGTAACAAGCTTGTAAGCTATTTCTTTTATTTGAAGGCTGATTCATAGATAAAATGGTTGTTAGCGGTTTGATCTGTGATTTGTAAAAATAATCCTGGTGCATACGAAATCTTAGTACGAATTTTTCAGACTAATCTCTACGAGCTACTTAAAGGACATTTATACTAAACATCCAGCCAATAAGGCGACTCGCCAGGATAACCAATCAGAGATTAAGGAATAGACAAGTTTGATTAACAACAATGTTAGTTATAACGAAGTTTAAGAGGTGGAGTAACAAAATTCATAATTTTACAATGGTCTAGTTTCGTATTGTTTAAATGTGAGGTGGGAAAGTCAGCGTTTTTTGCACGATTTATTCTCAGTTCGGAGGTGTATAGAAGGTAAGACCATTACGAACAAAGCTACTAAATTCCCTACTAAACACAACTGGACATTACGAACACTAAAATTCTTGATATGGACGGAATCCAAACAGACAGCATACTCCACTTTGAATTCAACATTCGAGTCAGACCCACACCCAGTAAATAATGAATGTGAATTTGCAACAATTTGAACGGAAATCTGTTTAACGGCTTAGTTATGCAAGTGAAGTGTTACTTCGGAATGTTACTAAAACTAACTTCGCTAAAATACTGCGATTTTGAACAAACATGTGTACTAGAACTCAGGAGTTTTTGGTACCAAGTCAATTTTGGTGCTTCTCAACAATCGTATGACACCATTTAGATAAGACTAATAACCCTACTAATTTCCTATATTTGGACTGATAATCACGTGATGTACGAGGTGACTAGAAAATCCAGCTTGCTAGTACGAACACTGATCTTTAAACAAAGACGAATCCGAATTTCAAGACAATCGCACACGAATAATCCTTTATTGTGTTATTTTTTTATAGGTTCAACTCTAAATGTCACTCAAAGCGCTTCACAAACAACAAGATTCTAAGTCAATCGACGTTAATGGTGCTACCTTTATTACATTAAACCAGCTTTCAGGACTGAAAGGACTGTTTTGAAATACTCATACATCTTTCATTTTTCAAAGCAAACAACTTACAGAAATCCGGCACTTTGACATTAGATTTCAGCCACCTGATTGCTGAGTAGAAGTCCCAATTTATCGAGAAAAACATGGAGAAGGAACCTGTATTCACAATAAAAGATGTAAGCCAATATAATGAAAGGATGGCAATAATTTGAAACGCGCTAGATTGTAAATTGACAGTGGCTTATGCTTAAGATAAACATGCACTGGTCTTACGCAACAACAGCTCAGGTGAAACCAACACTTAGCTTGTATTTGATTTTCTAGCAAAATGTTATTTACAAGGTTTAACAGGACGGTTTATCAATACTACTGGAAACAATTATGGCAGAAACGATAAAAAGAGAGCAGTACCATTCCTGTGACTTTATGGTCAATAGGCACCAAAAAGCCAGGAATTTTAAAGGCATAGGCACATGTAAAACTAACACACTATGTTGATATCACTTAAGAGATGAAGATAATCTTTTTAGTGAATAATTACAAGCCCTTGGATTTACAGTTAGTTTCCAGGCGCATGAGGTAACAAAAAAGATGTTGAATCTAATATTACTTAATAAGACGGGTTGAATAATAATCCCTGATACGTACATGACTATTGTTGATTACCACGATATGGGGAAGTTAAGGTTATAAAAGTGGCCAAGAATACCATCGTTCATATACCAGTAATCTATTTAGAAACTCTGATAATTTGGATGCGAAGTTAGCGTCGAAGTAACTTCTAACTTAGAACTGAAAGTCACCACCTTGTCCTGAAGCCCCATCGGGAGCAATAAACTGGAATTCTTGTTCTGAACTTGGAGGAAAAGTCTCACTATTCTGTGCACCATCAGCAGCCACGACTTTGCTTTCATTTTCATCATCCTGAAAAGAAGAGTAAAGTTAATATATATTATCGATAATAATTCGCAATTTATTTAAACTGCGCCGAGTGAACAAGCGATCCCACTATGAAAATAAAATGAGTGTTGAAGATGAAACAACTGTTTCAAATGCAGACAGCTTTTGATATACTAAGTTGATATTGTTTCACGGAATTATAGTAAGCGATGATCTGAACCAATAGCACGCACACTCCCATGATGCTATAAACGAAGTAGATGGCAAACAAGCACTTCTATGTAATCACTTTTATCCAACAGACATCTCCTTAATATTTCTTGTTACTTATATTTTAAGAATGATCGTGTGTTGAGATTAGTGAACCTTGAAGCACTTCGAAGAAATCACCCTAATGATCGAATATCACTAGTAAAAAACTTCGACCACTCTTTGAGATCAGTTACACACACACACAGCTTTTGGTTCCCATGTATAACTGACTTAAGGTTCACAGTTTACTGTTCGTTCTGCCACAACCACAGTTCCTCTAGGCATTCGGACAATTAAAATTTACAGATTATTGAATTTTACTGTATACTTGAAGGCTACAATCCACTCAGAAAGTTACGCTATATATATTGATATAAATGTTAAAAAACTTGCACTTGGCTTTATCGAAAGAGGCTTGTAGAAACCTGAAACTTAAATATTCTATAAAGTCGACTGCAGATAAATCGGTCTTAACTACAAACAGGAAAGGACTGCTAGTTTGTGGTACCTGATGACTTGATAAATGAACACGAACGTTTCAAAAACATTAAATGTGTAACAAGGAAAGCATCAACCTACCGCATCATTGAAGTACTTTTCAATTAAATCGTAAGCACCTTGATAGACTTGAACGTTAGTGTGGTCTTGCAATTCTTCCAACTTATCCAAGCCTCCACATGTCTCTAACTCGATACAAGCTGGTTCTAATTGGCCATACTGATCAGAAATCTTGGACAAAAAATAAATATTTCGTGAAAAATTAAATTTCAGGTTTAATAAAAAACATGAAGCGCTGGGGATACCCCTCCCCAGTAACAGTTGGAATCGAATTACACAGTTATCATCAAAAATATTCGAAACATACCTCTAGGAGTTTTTTTATTCCTTCTAGAACCATAAGTACAACCTTCGACTCTGAGACTGTAAGCATATTGCAAAGCGCTTTCAACACATTTTGGTTCAACAAATATGCACATTGTCCCGGAGTCCCACCGCTAATAAAATTACTGATAACCCAGCAGGCTTCTTTTTGAGTTCTGAATTCACCCTGTAAAACAGACACGAACACGTAAGAATGAGGGTGTAGGTATGTAGAGCTTACAGTAGTGGGATAAACCGGAATGTCAAGTCAATTATAAGCTTTGTAAACCTTTGAACATATGCGCATCGGTCCACGTTGCCACATAGCATCAAGAGACGGAGCTGTTAAGTAAATATCGAGGTAATAATAATGTCAAACGGGAGCAAAATTTATGAGTCCGAGAACGAGTTTAATGAGGATTTTGCGGAGCAATTTTGAAACTGAGGAAAACGGTCAGTATCTGACAAACTGTGATGCATTCTGAAAGTAATAACATTCACCAGGCATTTGGGTATGAAATGCACTGTTAGGTTTGACCATATGACGCAGTTGCCCGAACCGAATTATCCAGAACCGGACAAAAACCTAGGATTCATGGGTGGAAGTTGAGCTTCCTAACCGCTGAGTCATTTCCAAACACTACGTGATAATGATACACCCTGAACAGATGGTTCAGATACAGTTGATAATTTTAATCATCACCCCTCTTTTTAGGCGTTAATGACTACAATCGGGACGTTTCATAATTAAAGCAGAAACTCATACTAGACATCTTGGCATTGTAGCCAAGAACGATCATAAAATTACTTTTGTCAACCTCTATACTCACCCAACAAATCCTAATGTTGACCTATAAACCTTCTGAATGATTACGCAATAATCAAGTAGAACATAGAAGCGCCTTCCTTCTAATTGAGTGCTTAACAATCATGTCTAACCTATTTCTTGATTGGATAATGTATTTTAATATTTGCTGCACAAAAAACAGACTTAGGAAGCTTGTGTATAGATGCATAAATTATTTAAACGATACTGATTCATGAGCAAATCCACCCATTACTATAGCTGTCAAATCACTGCTTCTTTGATCTGAAGAAGTTAGATTAAAACTTCACATGCACACATAATAACGATATGATAAAAATTATTGATTAAACGAAAGTATGAACAGAATTTCGGCTATTAAAACTAATTTGAGCCACTATATACATTTTTGGCCGAAATTGAGGATCAAGTTAAAAGTATGCTTTAAAATGAATTTCGAAATAAAATATCATCGACGGTTTTGTATTACCTTATAAAAGATCTCCAAAATGCATGGTATGATGTTGTGACTTATAACCATGTCAATTTGATCTACACTTCCGGCGGTAATGTTACTCACTACCCAACAGGCTTCTTTGACCACAGTAGACTTTTCATTGTTTAACAATGCAGGGATGTAAGTTAGTAGACCGGCATCCAGAATAGCTTGTGTTTGTTCATCAGTACCGATGACAAGATTACCAATGGCTCTTAAAGATGGAGAAATGAGATTCGCCTAATCCGTTATAAAATGTTGAAATTGAACATACCGATGATGACGCTAACAGTCGCAGAAGTAACGGGACACATCCACTTCCTATTATATCATCAATAAATTCATTTACGGCATCACTTGCGTATGAAAGAGCCCATGCGGTATCCACAATCACATTCTTATTTCCCTCATACTGAAGAAGTCGATTGAGATAAGGCAGAAGCTTTTTAATGACGGCACGTGGGGGAGGAGGATCTCGGTTTCGACAGAGATTTGATAACATCCAGGCAATATTTGATACCACGGTGGGCTGCTTCCAAACTCGATCTAAAAGTCTTCGGGAAATATTTAGTTACGGTTTCACGTACTTTAACACTGGTTCAACAACTCCGCTGTCGATAACTTTATCTCGGAATTCGGATCCATCTCCGGCAATATTACTTAAAGCCCATACACTTTGCTCAGCTATATTGACAGCAGAATGACTTAACAGCCGTACCAGTTTTGGGACAGTCCCAGAGGAGACTAAGGCTGCTGTATGAGAGCTATCCCCGGAAGCAATGTTTGTGAGTGCCCATGCAGCCTCGAAAACAAGGTCATCGCTACTAGTCGAAGGGATATTAATTTAACTTACTGAGTGGAACTGAGGGATGAACCCAGGATGTCGACAGCACCCCTCTTATAAAACTCGTCTATTGGAGGGTTCTTTGCGCGTGATAGGGTTTTTCTACAGAGCTGAACTGCTTTAAATCGAGTGACTCGATCATTTGATTGCATATCACGGCTAACTGCATCGTAATTAACGTGTTCAGGAGTATCAATCTGCTTTTCTTTCAAGGGTGAGGTTTCATCTAGTTCAGTCAGCACTATGTTTCTCCGCTTCTGAAGTTGTTCATCCTTCTTAGCTTTGCGAAGTTCAACAGACTGATCAGTACGACGCCTCCGAAGTTCCTAAAATCGACATTTGAATATCTAAAACCTTACCTCAGAGTCCTTATCTTTGTTTTTATACAACCTTGATCTTTCCATCACGTCAGTTAAACTACCAGATTTGACAGTCAACAAGGGATAGGAGTTCGAATAAACAATTGCAGTATACAAGTTATCAAGTTCAAAAAGCTGTTAAATACTCAATGTCTCTATTCCTTACGAAATGTTTGCATTCATTCTCATCTTCGATAAAATTCTGACCAAATATGTATACACTTGGCTGATTTGTGACTAGTGGAATTTACTCCATCAGCTAATAGTCTAAGCTTGCATTTTTGTATTTATTGTAACTATAACGATGTTTCAGATGCTTACTATCGCTGTTGGTTAGGTTTCAAGGTTACCAATATATAACATGTTAAATGGCCTATCATTTGAGAAAAATGGGGATCTTTCCGGCTAAACAGGTTATGTCCAACAAATTCTGGAGATATTTTAAAAACAAATCAGTTGTAAGTCACTGATATTAAGAGATATTGGCATGGTTGATTTAAGGAACCACCTTCAGGACTTAGCGACTCAAAAATTCCGTTAAACGATTGCTATCACAGTCTGAATTTTATATATTTTGAAAAAGTTTATAGTCCGATTTCAAACTGAGAGTTCCATAAGTCATATGATGAATCGAATCATGTCGGCAATCAACCTTTATACCAGTGTAGTTTTGGATATAGTTTCCTTAATAGAATCTCGTGTGTCAGATGGATATGACACATACCTTCTGTTGGTATTGAGATGATCGTATGTCTCTCTAATATGAGTACTTGGTTTAATTGTGTGAAAGGATGGAGAGGAAAGATCTGTATCATTACTCAGTTTTTCAGCTTACGGCTCCTAATGGGCTAACGAAAAGTAGCTAGCCAGTGATTCTGATGCTATTTTTCTACTGAAATTGTCATTATGATGTATATATGTAGCCTTGAATTGACTTCACTTCCTACTGATAAGTCCTATGACAAGCCAAAGTGAACTCAAAGACGAGGTAAAAAAATTCATTTATGAGTTAAAAACGAACAATAATAGATAATAATCGCGAATAATTCTGATAAAAAAATTCAAATCACTTCGGCATCCAAGCGCTGCGTTTTCATCAGTACATTTTAATAATCTGATCAATTTCAAACTAATTGCGCTCTTTCAGATCTTTTTCATCCGTATACTCCATTTGTTTAAGGACATATTGTAGGCTTGTTTTTTGTGATTCACCTGGTTACGCACACGTAACAATCTGTCTAACAAAAGGGAATGACGTTAAATAATCATACTATGATTTTTCCATGACCAATGCCTTAACTTCACAAAACTTAAACATTGTCTGCTTTACCGTTTGTCCTTTTCCACTACCTTCTAAATATCATCATGACACACCGTCGAAAACACATGTATGTAGCATGTGACTCATTTCTACCATTTAATTGACACCTCTGATATATTAGGCAGATTTATATTTCTTTCAAACAGAAGCCTATTGTAGTACCTCCGCCTGGAGACCCCCGAGGGTTAATGCCGGTCCCAACCCTGGATAAAGGAGGAGGGTCGAGCATAGGGTTACCGGTCCCATCCTGTTGAAAGCTAACTCGCCAACTAGAAAAAATTAATAGAATCAATTAAACTCTGCCCTGGGAGTCGGAAGGTCTTCATTTAGAAGAGTTATGACGCCTCATGGTGTAGACCGAGTTCCTTCGGAAACCACGAGGCCAATGCCCCTTCCGACAACCGAAGAAACCATTTTTTTAGGTACATGGAATGCTCGTGCAATGTAGGAGACTGGGAGAGTCTTACAAATTGCTTCAGAAATGAGAAGATGCAACCCAGAAGTGTTTGGGATCAGTGAAACACAGTGGACGCAAGTTGGACAACAACGGCCAGCTTCAGGGGAGCTTCTATTGTACTCCGGCCATGAAGAAGAAAATGCCCCACATAAATAAGAAGTTTCATTTATGCTGTCCAAACAAGCACAAAATGCACTTATATGATGGGAATATCATGGACCAAGGACCATCAAAGCCTCCTTCAAAACAAGGAAAGAGGGCATTTCAATGAACGTCATCCAATGCTACGCACCTACCAACGACTACAACGAAGACGCTAAGGATCAATTCTACGATAGGCTGCAGTCAATCGTCGAGAAGTGCCCAACAAAGGACCTAACCATTCTGATGGGAGATTTAAATGCCAAGGTTGGTATGAAAAACACCGGATATGAAGAAATCATGGAACGTCACAGACTGGGAGAAAGGAACAAAAATAATGAGATATTTGCAAACCTATGTGCCTTCACTAAACTGGTCATAAGCGGCACTATATTCCCACACAAACGCATACACAAAACCACATGAACTTCACGGGATCACACTGCGCAGAACCAAATTGACCATATCTGCATCAGCAAAAATTTCAGGAGGATGATGGAGGATGTGAGAATCAAGAGAGGAGCTGATATAGCATCAGATCGTCATTTGATAGTTGCCAAGATGAAATTGAAACTCAAGAAGCACCGGACAACGAGGCAGACAACAGCACAAAAGTTTAATACGGCTTTTCTTCGAGAAAATGACAAACTCAACAAATTCAAGATAGTCGTCAGCAATAGGTTACACGCCTTTCATGATCTACTCAATGGAGAGGGAACTACTATGGAGCGCAATTGGAAAGGGATAAAAGAGGCAATTACTTCAACATGTCGTGAGGTTCTGGGCCACAAGAAGCACCATCACAAGGAATGGATCACTGTTGATACACTGGGTAATCTACAAGAAAGGAGGAACATGAAGATAGCTATCAATACCAGTCGAACAAGAGCAGAGAAAGCCAAGGCACAAGATGAATACATAGAAGTAAACAAACAAGTGAAGAGGAGCATCAGAACTGGTAAACGTAAATATGTGGAAGGTTTAGCAATGACGGCGGAAAAGGCTGCAAGATAAGGAAACATGAGACAACTGTATGACACAACAAGGAAGCTCTCTAGAAATCATCGCAAACCAGAACGACCAGTGAAGAGCAAGGAAGGCAAGGTAATCACCAACATTGAAGAACAACAAAGCAGGTGGGTAGAACACTTAAAAATACTCTTAAATTGACCAGCTCCACTGAACACGCCCAACATCGAAGCACCACCCACGGACCTCCAAATCGATGTTGGCCCACCAACAATTGAAGAGGTCAGCGTGGCCATCAAACAAACAAAGAGTGGGAAAGCAGCAGGACCAGACAACATTCCAGCAGACGCACTGAAAGCAGACGTAGCGGTAACTGCAAAGACACTCCACATTCTCTTCAGCAAGATTTGGGATGAAGACCAGGTACCAACAGACTGGAAAGAGGGACACCTGATCAAGATGCCAAAGAAAGGCGATCTCAGCAAGTGGGATAACTACAGGGGCATCACTCTTATCTCAATATCAGGAAAAGTCTTCAAAACGGTTTCGTTAAACAGAATGAAGGATTCCGTAGGCGCCCAGCTTCGAGACCAACAGGCTGGATACCGTAAGGATCGATCCTTTGCAGACCAGATCGCAACACTACGGATCACTGTGGAACAATCGATTGAATGGAACTCATCACTCTACATCAACTTCATTGACTACGAAAAAGCATTTGATAGCATGGACAGAACAACACTACGGAAGCTTCTTCGACACTACGGAGTGCCTCAGAAGATAGTCAATATCATACAGAATTCCTATGATGGATTAAACTGCAAACTCGTGCATGGAGAACAGTTGATAAACTCGTTCGAAGTAAAGACCGGTGTCAGGTAAGGTTGCTTACTCTCACCCTTTCTCTTCCTCCTAAGGATCGACTGGACCATGAAGACGTCAATATCTGAGAGGAAGCATGAGATACAGTGAGCATCTAGGGTGCAGCTGAATGACCTAAACTTCACAGATGATCTGGCTCTTCTATCGCACACGCAACAATAAATGCAGGGGAAGACGACCAGTAAAGCAGCAGCCTCAGCAACAGTAGGTCTCAACACAGCATGCACCAATCCAATCACACTTGATGTAGAAGATTTGGAAGATGTAAAAACCTTTACATATCTGCGCAACATCATCGATGAACACAGTGAATCTGATGCACATGTGAAGGTGCGGATCATCAAAGCAAGACCAGCATATTTACAACTGAAAAACATCTGGAACTTAAAGCAACTGTCAACCAACACCAAGGTCACAATTTTCAATACAACTGTCAAGACAGTTCTACTGTTTGGAGCGGAAACCTGGAGAACTACGAAAGCCATCATCCAGAAGATACAGGTGTTTAGTAACAGTTTTCTACGCAAAATGCTTGGGATATGTTGGCCAGACACTATAAGCAACAACCTACTATGGGAGAGAATAAACCAGATCCCAGTTTAGGAAGAAATCAGGAAGGAGCGCTGGAATTGGATGGGGCACACATTGAGAAAAGCACCCAACTGCGTCACAAGGCAATCCCTCACGTGGAATCCTCAAGGCCAAATGGAGAGAGGAGGACTGAAGAACACATTACGTCGGGAAATGGAGACAGACATAAGAAAAATGAACAACAATTGGATGGAAGTAGAAAGAAAGGACCAGGACAGAGTGGGTTGGAGAATGCTGGTCGGCGGCCTATCGTTCATTGGGTGTAACATGCCTAATTCATAACGATATTTGAAATTATAGCGAAAAGACGGAGCATTTTATCATCAAACACAATAAATATGTTGTTGACTCAACACGTATTTGATAGGTATTTCGTCACCCACATGGATATACCCACCTCAAAATACGTGCATGATAACCTCAAATTTTTTACATCGTTTCCTAGCGACACTGTTCAAACATTTTCGGAGATAGTTCATTTCTGACGATTTGGTTCATCCCATTAATTATTCAACAATCGACTGCCTTATCTCCTTTTGATCGATCAATGGTCAGTTCTTATGAAAGTCAAGATGTTGGTCTAGGAGTTGAACGTTTGGGTTATTTTCCAGACCTGCCACTTCACCATTCCTACTTGTCTGGTGGTCTTGCCAATTTCTTCTATTATTTGTATGGCAACATCTT